CCCCCCCCCTCCCCTCCATCCCCATGGTAGTTCTGATGGCTTCTCCTGAGCCTCTGCATAGACCACGCCCCTCAACTCTGATTGGCTCACTGCCTTCAGGAAAGAATCTGAATGACTTGGTGATATAAGAACCTGTGGAGGTACATGATGAACCAATTCATACTCACAGCACCACACAAGCAGTGTGAGAAAACCAGTCAAAACTCTTTTGCTTGTGTTCTGTAATTCATGCATTGCTGACAGAAAGCTTTAAGAGACGACAGCACAATATACAGAAGAATGATTGGCCGGAATTAAAAGCTGCAAATTTACTCAATAGCATTATTTTCCCTGCTGTGTAACGTTCTGATGAGTTCAAACCAGTTTAGGGCCTTTATTTGGGTATAAATGTCTTTGTGAACCTATTTGTTTCTGTCGTCAATGTCATCGTTATCAGGCCTATTCATGCTGAATGAATTTGCGCAAAATATTTATAAAATTTCATGTCAGTTGAATGTGGTAATTTACATAAAAAATTATTGGAGCTGAACAAATGTGCATAAATCATTTACATACAAATTTATACAGGAATTTGTTTTGCTCATTTCATGAGGCTATTTGTTCCATCAAATGTGCTACTGTAAAACAGTTGTTGTAACTATCCACATCAGCATCCGCATGAGGGCACAATGGCATATTGTTCATTTGTGAATCGGCTTTTTCTGAAAAGCAGTCTTGATTTAAATTTTTAATTTTTTTTATTTTAGTGCAGTTGCAAATGGATATTCGTTTAGTCACTGTGCCTTATTGGAGTAAACCTGCTTAAGACAGGCAGTCCATGAGGTAGGACGAATAATTTATGGACAAATTAGAGGGAAAAACAAAAAGTTTAGAAATAAAGTTTTATGTTATCAAAGAGAACCATGCCACAATCCTGCCAAGAACATTTTCTTTACAGTCCTGTGTACTAGTTGAGTTGTAAAGTAATCCAGTAGATTAACTGTGAATACAGAATACATAGGACTAGTGTCTTTGGGCAGGTCTGTGTTTTGTGTGTCTTGTTTTTCTCATATGTGGTTACAAATGTCTTTGAAGAATGTTATGCATAGAATATATTTTCTTGCTCTATAATTTGGCATGGAGGCAAGATGGTTTCTTTTGTTTTAATGTATCTATTTACGTGTTGTTACTTTTGACAGCTTGAATGTTCCGATGTGGTTCCACTGAATTTATTGTAAGTGAAATCCTGTCTTGTAAGCAGACGCACTGACGCGTGTCAATTACAACTGTTTTTGTCCCTACTTGTGTGTACCCTGTACATAAAGCATTTTGAAAGCTATTTTGTTTGTATCTTCACTTAAAAGCAAGATACTGCAATGTTCTATATGGCTGCATTTATGCTGTTCACATTTATAGGATAAAGTTTCAGCGTTTTGTTCTTAACCATCACAATTATGCAAATTCCTGCAATGGCAGTCTGCCCCCTTGTGGTGTAAATCTGAAATTGATGAGGAAATGAAATAACAGGACTAACTATTTATCAGACAAAAAAGGGTTTATTTTCCAGTGTTTTACAATGTGCGTCCACCATATGAGCAGACCCAGCATGATACAAACAGTTAGGGAAGCATTGTTCACACACAGGGAGACTGAAGACCCCAGAGATGATTAGCATGTTCGCGTTCACTCTCCCGGGTCCCTTAACCTTACCTCTGTATCGTACAATACTTACAAAAAGAAATTGATGCAATGAAAATGACCAGAGGATGAGGAGCAGCTAAAACATGTAATAGATATGTACAATTAAGTTACTTACTTTACAGGAATATTTAAAATCCAAGTCTGGTTAAAATACCAAATGCAAAACTTAAAACAATAATGCATTAAAATAGTGTTAAGACCCAGGAGGAATGCTGTAGGAATGGAAGCGGCTCATTTTTCCATGAATGTGTGAAAGTGTGGCTGAGTTTTTTATGTATATATATATATATATATATATA